AGAGAGAGAGAGAGAGAGAGAGAGAGAGAGAGAGAGAGAGCGAGAGTGAGAGTTACGGAGAGGGAAAAGCTGAGCGGAAAGGCAAGATAATTAACTATATTAGAAGGAATATGTGCATCCGTGCCTGTGTGTGTGCTGTTTGTGTCGTACGTGCGTTTGTCTGCGCGTGTGACTGCGCATGCGTGTGCACAACTCCGTCTGCATTCCTCCCTCCCTCTGTCCGGCTGTCCCTCCCTCCTTTCTCTCCTCTTTCCTTTCCCCTCCCTTCTCACTCCCTTCCCCTCAGTAGTTCTCTTCCTCTCTCACGGATAGTATCGCCCACGGCATCAGTTGCACGGTGAAAAGTTAGCCAGGCAAACGGCTCGTTTTCAGCCTCAACTTTTTCACACCCCCAAAGCACAAAATGTGGATATACGGCTATAATACGCGTTTTTACAGTCACACAAACACACATACACACCCACTAACGGACGCGCAATAATGGGTATGGTCTCACGCTAGCGTGCGCGTGTATTATAGGCGTATATGTGTATATATATAGCGCCCGAGAAAGAGAGACAAATTGATATATCCATCTGGGTTAGGCCTATTCCATATATCTGGGTTTTTCAATATTATTATGCTTACTTTATAATTATTTTTAACACTAGATGGCGCTAGAATGTCAAAATTCAACATAGCATCAGAGCACTTAAATCAACATAGCAATAACATTTCCTTATGTCATTGGATGGTGGCGCCTCTAGTGGATCATTATATCTCCCCCGAGACCTACTACGCGCGAGTAGTTTATATTTATCATTATTTTTAAATTTATTATTAAATCGATATATAGATAGGGGCAGAAATAGAAAGAGATGGGTACAGAGAGCAAAAGGGAGGGGTACATAGAGAAAGGGAGAGAGGTACATAGAGTAAGAAAGAGAGGTACAGAGAGAGAAAGATAAAAAGGGAGGGGTACAGAGAGAGGGGTACAGAGAGAGGGGTAGAGAGAGAGGGGTACAGAGAGAAGGGTACAGAGAGAGGGGTAGAGAGAGAGAGAGAGCGGTAGAGAGAGAGGGGGGTAGAGAGAGAGGGGTAGAGAGAGGTGTAGAGAGAGAGGGTTTCAGAGAGAGAAAGAGCGAGAGAGAGAGAGATAGAGAGAGA